GTGCCTTAAACTGTTTGAAAAGTGTTTTAAATGCTTGGCATTGTTAGCCCACCTCCTGAAACCTATGCAGACTTCATTTGGTGTTGTTCTGAGTTTTTGTTAATTTTTGGTGATTTTTTGTTTTTTCTCTCATTGAAATGCATTGGACGGACAGTGGCTTTCAATGGAGAAAAGAAAAAATCACCAAAAATTAACAAAGACTCAGAACAACAGCAAATTAAGTTTGCATAGGTTTCAGGAGGTGGGCTAACGATTGCAAGCATTTAAAACACTTTTCAAACAGTTTAAGGCACTTTTACAGGAGCAAAAAGGGACATCGTTGTGCAAAAATTCCCCATAGGAAACATTGTTGTGTGAGGCGGCAAATTTTTCAGGAAAAGCCATTGTTGTGTGAATTTATCATTGTGTGAGTCACTTGTTGTGCGAGGCACCACTGTATAGTACAATTTACATGTTTCATTCATAAATACTACAGAATACTATGATGCATACTCCTCATTATTACCACACTGAATTAGGGCATTATTAATTATATATTATATATTATGAGGCTATTATAAAACAAACAGCACTATTTCTTTTCTACTTGCTTATCAAGGAGCATTCATCTTTTTCTCCTTTTACACTGTTTATAAAATGTTTTTCTGTACAATATAGGACTATTCTCATTTGTTTAATACAGGTTCTGACATCTGTTTTGTGGTATTACTTTGTTAATTAGTATTTTAGGTAGACATAACTCAAGCAGCAAAATAAAGTGCAGCATTCTAATTTTTTCTCTGTCTTTGTTCACATAAAGTAAGCATTATATTGTTTACTTTTTTCTTCATGAAAGCTGGCACAAAAAATGAATGAGTTACTTCTGCCTTCTCTTATCAGTGTTCCAAAATAACTGGCCATATTTTGGTTTTGTAATATAAACAATCTTCACAGAGCACTTTCCAATTGCAGATCCAGTTAATAGTTTGTTATCTTGTGTGTGTGTGTGTGTGGGGGGGGGGGCAATAAAGGTTCTATCTGACTGACTGCTATCAGAACACTTCCTTATACCCTATGCTCTTCAAAAGGGGAGGATGAAGCACTTGGTTCTTCTGTTCCTGAGTTCTAACCAATAGGAATTACTTAGTGGATGAATTTCAACAAGAAATGCAAAAGAAAACAAAAGCAAAAAAGGACATTGTTGCACCTTAAAGACTGCCAATGTTTCTTCTAATTTTCCACCAGCACTAAGCAAAAGCCATACCTTACATGCACAAAGTTCTGGCTGCAAGCAGAACCAAATGAGTGGCAACTAATTGAGAATACATGGCACCAATACAGCACTGCACAGTTTAGAGGGAACATTGATAATTGCTGTGTTTTAATATAAGCTTTTGTGGAATATGTGCACTTGGGCACAGATAAAAGAATACAGAAACTACATGGTAAAACATTCATGCAAGGCTCATAAATAAGGGGAACTGAGAGATACTGACCATGTTTCAAAGGCAGCAAAAGCATTGCACATTGGATTTTAAGAAAGCCAGTTTTAATAAGCTCAGAACAATAAATAACAAAGTTGCATGGCAGATCATAACAAGAAAAAGAGTCCAAGAAGGATGGGAATTTTTTAAAATCAAAATTCCAAAGGTGCAATTACAAACAGTTCTAACAAGAAAAATAGACCAGTGTGTCTTCACAAAAAGCTCAGAGAGAACCTAAAAACAAAAAGGATGGGTACAGACTGCAGAGCATTGCAGGGATGGCATTAGAAAAGTAGATGCTGAGAATGCATTGAGGTTATCAAGAGATGCTAAAAACAATAGAAAAGCATTCTTCAGAACTTCCATTATTAATTTCTTAAAATCATGGAAGATGGATGAAATGCATGTGTCTTCACAAAAAGCTCAGAGGGAACCTAAAAACAAAAAGGATGGGTACAGACTGCAGAGCATTGCAGGGATGGCATTAGAAAAGTAGATGCTGAGAATGCATTGAGGTTATCAAGAGATGCTAAAAACAATAGAAAAGCATTCTTCAGAACTTCCATTATTAATTTCTTAAAATCATGGAAGATGGATGAAATGCCAGAGGATTAGAGAATAGCTGATATTGTCCCTATCTTCAGAAAGGGCAAAAAGGAGGAACGTGGGAGACTAGAGACCAATTAGTCTGACATCTATCTGAGACAAAATTCTGGAGAAAATTATAAAGGGGCCAGTATGTAACACAATGATAAGCCAACATGGATTTATCAGGAACAAATCCTACTAAGCTAATCTTGTTCCATTTTATGACTGGGTAACCTTCCTGGTAGGTGGTGGGAGTGGTGTAGATGTGATATATTGTAACTTTAGCAAAGCTTTTGATAGGGTGCACCATGATATTCTGATTAGCAAGCTAACTAGGTGTGGGCTGGATAGCAGAAATGTCAGGATGGTCAGTAGTTGGTTACAGAATTATACTTAGAAAGTGTTTATCACTTGTTTCTTCTCACACTGGAAGAAGGTAACAAACAGGGTACCACAACATTAAGTCCTGGGCCTGATGCTCTTCAGTGTTTCTATTAGTTATTTGAATGAGGTGCAGGGAATGCTTATCTAATTTACGGATGAGTCAAAATTAGGTGGACTAGCTAATACCTTGGAAGACAAAAACAAAATTCAAGATGATCTTGGTAGGCTTGAGCATTGGGCTGAAAGCAACAGAATGAAATTTAATACTTATATTTAAAATATTTGTATCCCACCTTTCTCCTTAAAAAGGACCCAAGGCGGCTTGCAAGAATTAAAAGACAGTATTTAAACTAACAATGAGTATACAGTACTAAAAGAGTCAAATGAATAGAGACACTGAAATTGGATGGAGCTTACACAAAAGCTCAAAGTTGTCATGTTGTTCTTTCCATGGAGCTGATTCAGAAAAAGTATCAGTGGCCAAATGTGAAAATGAAAGAACAAGACAGAGAACTGTCCCCTGGAAGCCTATTGAGCCTGCTGCTTTTCAGTTTAATCACAATGTTGCTCTTCTCTTTTCTGTCTAGATGTTTTCAGTGATCTTCCTCACTTTTCACACTCCAGTGTTGTCAACAAATATGCAGAAATACAGCATCTTGACTTCTACTACTACTTGCATCACCAGCGACCCTCATTTGCCTTTGGGACTTTTTTAGTCCACCAGCTAGCAAAGAGCAAAAATCCAAAGCAGTTGTGAGTATTTAAAACAAGCAGAGATTTGGGGAACTTACCAATGATTCCAATGACACAAGCATAATTGTTGTGAAGTCACAAAATAAACATGACTGTTTTTTTCAGACAAATATTTCTTGTGTTATAGTAAGATACTGTTCATTGTTTGAACAATTTGTTAGGTGGTTTTTAAGGAGTTATCCTAAATGGCGGATATCAATATTTTAAAAAAGAAAAGAAAACAATGAAGTACCATAAGCGAGTAACAGTGTTCCGTGTCTTAAGTCGCACTGGCCATGTGACCACGGAAGATTGTCTTCGGACAAAACGCTGGCTCTATGGCTTGGAAACGGGGATGAACACTGCCCCCGAGATTCGAACACGACTTGATATCAATATTTTTAAAAAGAAAAGAAAAAAATGAAGTACCATAAGCGAAGACTGAGAGAAGAATGATTTGGGCCCAGATTTTTTCTTTGTATCCATGTGATTACATTGATGTTGATATCAGATACTTACTGAATTCTTAAACCCCAATCTCTGTTGTGTGAAATGCTTTAGGCTAATTGCTGCTTCTTTCTATTTTAGGATTCAGCAAGCAGGCAATGGAGCCTATTTTTTGGCTCTCTCTTTCTTTTACATGTCTTCTATTGCTGCAGCCTGTGTCTGCTTTTTGGAATTGCTGGGCTTTGATAGTCTGAAGCTCCGGGTGGATATCAAAGCAGCAAATATAATTTTGAGCTTCATGTCTAGAAGAGATGAGCCTCAGCATAACTCCATCAGGCAGTCGTTGGGTAGTTATTCTTTCTACTTGTTTTTTATAGTTGTGTATCTTGTTTTTATATTGGGAGGGTTTCACCTATTATTGGAAGGGTTGGTGCATAAGAAATTCTGTTCTTATTGTTATATGAAACCTTTGCAGAAGATCCACAGTGATGTCATAAAGCTATGTGTAATAATCTTTCTGTGTCAAACTTTTAACAATGTTGCTTATCAACGTGAAGCTATTGCAATAGAACAATGCCCCCTTGTCTGTTTTCTTTTCAGTTGATAAGTTAACAGAACTAGCTAATGGAGAAAAGACAGCGGCAGCAGAGCTTCTTGTGTGCTTGGAGGAAGCAGTCTGGGAGAAAATTGAGCATCAAGGGATAAAGAAGTAAGTTAACAATTTGAGTTTGTTCTGTCTGATCACCAGAAAGGCAAAGTCCTAAATTACAGAATCATAGAATAATTGAATTGAAAGGGACCTATAAGGCCATCAACTCCAACCCCTTTCTTCATGCAGGAATCCAAATCAAAACAGATCTGACAGATGGTTGTCCAATTTTCTCTTGAATGCCTCCAGCATTGGAGCGCTCACCACCTCCTGAGATAATAGCCATACTGCTCTAATAGTTAAGAAATTTTTTCCTGATATTTAGCCTAAATCTGGCTTGAGCCCATTATTACATGTCCTTCACTCTGGGGTGATCGAAGTCATATCCTGTAGATCAGACCTGGGCAAAGTGCAGCCCGAGGGCCACATACGGCCCGCGGACAGTTTTGAACATCAAAAACATTTATAGCTTTTTGTCTAAAGTTGGTCAGTTGCTTATCTTTAACATACTGCAAAAAACCTCTTTAGTATTTGTGAAGATTAACAAGTTTAAAATAAAAACAATCATAACATCACTGTTTCAATTTATTTTTAAGTAAAGTTGGTTCGGCTCCCCGAACATAGTTCAGATTTTTCATGTGGCCCCCCCCATAGAAATTAATTGCCCACCCCTGCTGTAGATTGAATATTTCCTCTTTTTCCTGGGTTTAGTCAGTTAACTTAGTACATTCAGCCGTAACAATTGCTTACACAGTGTGGCATAGTAATAGAGCTCTAACTGAACAGCAATATGCTCAGTTAAATTTATTAGAATGCCGAAGCTGGCTTATTGAGATTCATGCTAATAAAATGTAGTGCCCCTTCTTGAAATCTCTTTTCGCTAAGTAGATGAACTATTTTTATGATAAAGTAATGTTAAGGTATCAGGAGCATGGCCAGTCCTTTTAAGCCGAGAACATACTATTTAAGATGTTATAAGGATATGTTTGGTACTAAAGTAATTTCTTAATTGTGCAAGGCATTATCCTTTATTTCACTGGTGTCATTTGGCAAGATGCAGCTTCTTTCGTATTCGTCTTCTTCTGGAAAGGTGAAGTTGTTTCACATTTTTCTGACATGATGGCTATAAAAACATGGCTTAGACCTTGTGTTGTGGTTGAATATCTCTTTGCCTTCCTTGAATCATAAAGGAGCTGTTGTCTCAGTAAGCATGTTGTCCAGTATATTGTCCCTGAATTTGTGCATCTCACAAAAAAGAGCTTTCTGCATGAAGTTAGTAATGAAATATATCTACTTAGATTTCAGCCATCATGGGAAATGGTACTTACCAACATATTTTGGTATCTGAGACACAGGAAAAGATGGTGTTCTTTTCCTTTTTTACATATAGATGGTGACCAGACTAGCAGTTAAATCTTTTTCAGTCCTGGTGTTGAGACCATATCTTCCATCATACATTGAGGGCGGCAGGCTGCCTTGGAGTATAAGGCAGGTCACATTGTACACATACTTAGGGTCATCGTTCTCTTGCTCCCTGCCCCCAGTATCTGTTGCATCGCTTTACCAAACAGAAAAGTACTTCAGTGCTTTAAGTGCTTTAAGAACCAAATAGAAGGCTTGGCACTGGTACTTATATGATTAATATTACAATGTGAGCATGTCCACCTGAGTCAGTTTGTACATCTTTCATTCAGAAACACAGGTAAATTTCAATGATTCTCTGCACATGTCCCTGTGAGGTCTAGGGAAATACAGAGGAAGGCACCAAAGAGTAGGGTCCTCAACACTGAATTAATTTTTTAACAAATACTGCAGATCAGATAAACAACACTTCATCCACCAAGCCTTTGCATTCAGATTCTGCCTGCTCATAGCAGTTTTCTCCTAAAAGACAGTTTTCAGAACACAGAACAACCTTGGTTTTTTTGTCTTGGTTTAAATGGGACTACATGTGCTTTTTGTGAATGGACTCAAAGGTCCTTTGGCATAGCTAGTGATACAGTACCTCAAAGACAGGCCTACAGACACACAGGGACACACCTACCAAATACAGGAACTACCTGCTATAGCAAACTGAAAGATTGATCCATGATTTGGGAATTTGTAGTTCCATGGTAGAAAGTCACTCTTGAGGGAAGGCAGATGTTAATGTTAAAGCTCTCTCAGATTGCACTGAAGGAATATTCCACTGGAGAGTGAGCTGCTGTACAGAACTGTGTTCTTGAAACTGTTTGTGACATCAAATTGTGGAAGATACGTATCTCCAGATAAAGTTTTAGATCAGGTTTTTTATTTAAAATAATTACTACAGGCATATGCAGAATGAAAAAGAACAGTGTGTAAGTTTTTCAAAGCATCACGGATTGTAAATTTTTTTATAACTATTCATCTCTGTATGCACATGTAGCTTGTTTATAGAAAAAGGTAAAGACCATTCTTAATCAAGCAGTTTTTGCTAGCTTCTGTGATTTCTGCATCTTGGCTCTTCAAAGACCTTCAACTTCCTGGATCCCAATTCTCTCTCTCTCTCTCTCTCTCTCTCTCTCTCAATATACTGTTACAGCTGAAAGGGATTAATTCCATTTTTCTTCTTCACCTTCAGTTCAGGTTGATTGTTTAAGACATTAGAATTGAAGTTATTTCTCAAGGCTTCCCAAAGCGTGGTCTCTTTTGTTTTTAGTCTAAAAAATCCCTGCCATCTTCTTTTTGCAAAGATTTTATGTTTGGGTACCTCTTCAGGCAAATGTTTTTTCAGCATCACTTGTCTGGCTTCTTTTCCCCTACATTCAGTTATGTCAGAAGAGAGGATAAAGATGCTCCCCAAGGCAGAAAGGGGGGGGGGGATGGCAATTTTTTGTATGTGTATTGTTGCTTCTGCTGGAAAAGTTTGCTAGTTGTGTATGAAATGTTTATATGAATGACCTTTCTTCATAGGTCATCAAGTGATGCAAGAAAGCAGTGGTCTTTGGTAGTTCACTTTTGCAGGCTTCACAACATAAAGCTGAGCATGTCATATCTGAAAATGTGTGCTAGAGCCAATGAATGGCTGCAATTTATCACTGTAGCTGAAATGTACAGCTACCAGCCAGCTGAGGTAAGATGGCAGAGGTGATAAATATAGGTTTTCATTTTTATTTATTTTCTGCTGTCTGTAGAAGGTATTCCTTTTCACAGAAAATAGTATGTATTTGAACAATAGTTCCTTAATATTTTTTTGGGGGGGGAGAGATCAATAGTAATGAATATAAGTATATTCACTCATGCTGCAAAAAGATTGAAACAAATCTATATGGATTAATTTGGTAAAGAGGAGCAGCACCAGGTTGCTCATGCTGTCATTCCTTAAAGTAAAAGTCATGGGCTGGGTCCACATTTTCCTTCTACAGAAAGGGCTTGTTTTGTAGAAAGTTCCTCTGCCCTTCTCTCTCTGCTATAGCTCAACCTTTTCTGGTGAGTTCTTTGTGCCATGTGTTGGATTTTCAAAAGGCTGGAAGAACTTCTTTGGACATGAAGGAATAGGGAGGTCTCTTTGAGGTAGTCTAGTTATACACACATAGATATAAGCTCTGTTATTGTTTTTTTAATTATTAGGTTGCTTGGTTTTGTCAGTTGTGTTTCTTTTTTTTGTTTGGCATGTTATACTTTCTCCCTCAACCTCACCAGGATCATTGACGATTTGTGGGTGAAGAGTTCTGTGGAACTGTTGAGTATGTGTGTATGAGAATACTTACTTTGCGGTTTTTTTCACTTATTTCAGATCAATCTCATCTTCCAAGACTTCCCTCATCCTTTGCAGGATCACTTGAGGCTGGCTTTTCAAATTTTCCAGGCTCCAGACACTCGTTTGGAAGACCAGTGTAGCAGCCCTCACCTGCTGGGATGTGAGCATAGGCAGAGCATGAATAATTTGTTCCATATTCTGCTTCAGTGTCAGCATCACCCACATCCTTGGCGTTACCTTCTGGGTGAAACAGTCAAGCACCATGCTCCAGTTCTGAGTATTCTGGCTGCATGCTTTCAGGTACACATTCTATAACATTAAAAAGGCTGTGCAGTCAGTGTCTGAAGGTAAGGGTGAGCTATACCTTTATCATATGATTGAGCTGTCACAAGCTTTATTTGAAAAAAAAAATCCTCATTTTTTTCTGTCATCCTTCCTCTGTGTCTATACTCATGCATTTGGCAGGATGCACACATTATCCATTGTCTCTGTGTTTGGATAATAACTTCCTTGGATAGCTTCACCACTGCTGAAGTGACAAACCACATTGAAGACTCACTTGAAACCCACGAGTGGAATCTTCAGGATTTGGCGACCTTCTGGCAGATGCTTCTAAGGAGGCAGAAAAACAGAACACTTCTTTACGGCTTTCAGTTGTTTCTGAAGGTAATTGTATCCTATTTGAATTTAAACTCAGTTAGCTGGCTGTTGATGGTGCATTGGAAACTTTTCCTGAATGTAGATCCTATATATTTCAGTAGGCCTTTTTTTGTGTTTCTTTGTATTATTCTAAAATTCCTTTGAAGTGAAACTGAGTATTATCCAATGTAGTTTCTGTGTATCAAGCACATGGATTTTGTGCCTGCACAAACATCTTGTCTGGGTCCTTTCTGGCACTAAATCAGGTGTAAATCCCTCCTCTCCCCAACTGTGCATATTACTAAGACATATTTCCACTCACTTCGTTTTTGACTGTCATGATGATATCACCATGGATGCTATCTGTTTTTCTGTGCAGAATTAATCTGCACAGAATTAATCTGTGCAGAATTAATCTGCTTTCATTTTTCCTTCTTGTTTATTTGATTTGGATTTGGTTGTAAGCTGTTTCCTCTGGACAACCATCCCCTTTGCATCTAGGGCAAGGTACTGTACACTTAAATTTGTAAAACTTCTACAAATTAGTAAAAGGCTTCTACAAAGGAGGTTGGGCACAATTAAACCTTTCATCTGTAGACATGTAAGGCATCAAATTCATCAGTGAATGACTCTTTTCTTTTTTCCATATGTTCCACTGCCATCAGATACATGTCTCCCATCCTCCACGGCCCATCTAACTGGTGGACAATCCAGTGATGCTCCATCAGCTTCCTTACATTGGGGGCTAACTGTCCCTGCTGTCTTTTTGCACCCACCCACCCCTGCTTCAGTTAGTCTTGACATCCATCGTATCTTCGGTATAGACATCTTCAGTACTGTTTTCTAGGCTTATTTCTAAATCCTATATCAGGATGCTTGATTGATCTGAAATCTACGAAGATATCAAAGACACCTATGTTGGAACCAAAGAAGAAGAACCTCCAATAGCTCCACCACTACATCTTAATACCTTCATGACAGCAGCCCTTTCCTCATTTGAGTAATGATTTGTTATGCTGTGGACATGCTGCCATAGAAAAGGTTCGGATATGTGTATCTACATCAGAAAGTGAAATGAGAGGTCTGGAGCCCGTGGTTAGATGGCTTAGATCTCTAGCTCAATTGTCAGTTAATTCCATGTGTTACTAATTCCATGTGTTAATTCTAGGCTTTCTGTGACTCTTGGTGTTCAACGATTCAGTTCTTCCAGATAGTAAAGCTGGAGTTCTTAAGTTTTGTTTGTAAATTCCACATTTTCTTCCTCATATCTAGTTTACTCTATTGCTTCTTTGCAGTCTTGGGCTGTGGGTCAATGAGAGAAAACCATGTCTATCTCCATCCCAGCTTATTCTGTATATTGGTGTCATATTGGATGCTTGCTTCAAAAAAGCCATCCTTCCCACCAACAAAGCCACACATCTAGCAGCCAAGGTGGCACAACACACAATGTCTTCAGTACTCATAATTCAAAGACACCGAGGCTTTATGGCCTATATTGCTGCAGTGACCCCTTTCTGGATGATTGCACATGCATACCTCTGGGGAGGTTCCTCTGAAGACTCAGTCCTCCATTACATCACAACATTCACCTCCTGATCTTGCTGTCAGAATTTTGATACAGTCTACTTTGGTGGAGGTCTACTCCCAATGTTAGACAGGGCCTGTCTTTTCATTGCCCACATCTATTGTCACCATAAATGCATCAGACACTTATTGTGGGGATTCAAGTTTGCTGGTCCCCCTGGGAATGCAGGTATCACTTCAGTGCTTTAAGAACTCCTGCACTTAATTCTAAGAGGAAGAAGGGTCCAAGCAGCAGCACACAACATGACTGCCATTCATTATATACAGGGTAGCACACGTCATCTGTTCTGCTCTACCTGACTCTGCTTTTGGTTTTGGTGTCATTGGTACACTATCTTTCCCTCAGCATTGTGCAGATACACCTCAGCAGAACATTCTGCATCCATGCTATAGAAGCAGCAATATCATTTTTGACACCTTATGTCCATCTCTGGCACCACCAGATCTCCACCAACAAATGGGTGCTAGCTATCATTAAAAATGGGCATGTGATTGAGTTCCTCTGTCTGCCACTGATGGGCATCTATGCCCCTTCTCAGTTCCTAAAAGAGGAGAACCTGGCTCTCCTGGAAAATAACGCTGTCAAATGTGCTCACCCTCAGCTCAGTCATGATGGATTCTTTTCCCACGATTTCACAGTGCCCAAGAAATGTGGAGGCCTTTGCCCCATTTTGGATCTCAGAGCAGTCAATCACTTCATTCACACTAAAAAGTTTTGGATGGTGACCCTATACCTCCTTTTACAAAGAGGGGTCTGGCTTGCCATGATAGACCTAAAGGATTCCTATTTTTCATATCTCAGTCTGACTGGACCTCCATTTTGCTCTAAGGCATTCAGTTTTCCAGTTCAGGGCACTTCCTATTGTTAGTTAAATGCCTGGTCAATACCATTACACATTGTTATCAGCTCACTAAGATGCCCTTTCCTAAATATGTCAAAGTTCACTCAGCAAGAGCTGTGTCCTCAGCTATGTTTTTAAGGACATCAGCCTTCAAGACATTTGCAATGCTGCTACCTGGGCTCAGCTTTTGACATTCATCAGGCATTATCGGCTATACATGAGAGACAAGATGTGTCCTTCTTTGGGCAGAACTGTGCTCTCTTCAGTTCTTCTGTGATTTCCCACCATCTGGTCAGTGAGCTTGCTACTCACTTGTATGTGTGAATCATGGAGACTGCAAAGAAGAAGAACATGTTGCTTACCAGTAACTGGTTCTTTGAGTTGTTATCCATGAATTCACACAACCCACCCTCCTCCCTTCAATCATGCTCACCTTCCATGTGCACCATGAGGGGGGGTTTCTAATGGCCTACTTTACTAAGTACTAGAATGTTCCGAGAGCAACTTCATGCAGGCACAAAAGCAACCTTTATGTGTGAATTCATGGATGACTGCTTGAAGAACCTGCTGTTTCAGATCTGACTTGCTGTACTTAACCTTCCATGCAGACAAGGTAGTTCTTTGTCAAATATTTCCCTTTTACCAAAGGTGGTTTCCTCTTTCCACCATAATCAGGAAGTTGTGCGACGCGTGTTCTTCACTCTGGATGTGAGGTGGTTCTTGCTTTCTGTACATCAAGAATTGCACTTTTCTGCACTTCGTCTATTTTGGTGGTTTGAGGAAGGATTTGCCTATCTCATTGCAATACTTCCCTCTCCCCACGGGGTCACTGGGTTTATTTTACTGGTGTATGAACTTACACAAGTGCCTCTATGTGATTCTACCAGACCTGTCACTTATTTGGCAGTGGCTCTTTAATGTGTCCTGCTGGAGGATATTGGCAATGTGGGCACAATCATCCATCTTTATCAAGAATTATGGTCGTGATCTTTGCAAAAGAAAGAACATCAGATTTGGGAGAGCTATTCTTTCTACAGTGCTCCCAGCTGTTGCGCTGCAACATTTTACCAAATGGGCTGTGGACATAATCATACTTTGCTACCAGGTGGCCTGTACTCCTCTGACAAAAACCGTTAGGATGCACAGTGGTCCACTGCCACATGGATAGTGTTCCTGAGGATAGTGCTGCTCCCTGTCATCTGCAAGGCCACATGGACCCAGACAAACACTTGGCAGTATTCCCTGGATATGAAATCTTGGCGAGTGACATCTGCCATCCTTTAAGAAATAAGCTCTGTAATAACCCATTTGTGTGCATTCACAGATATGATGATGAAGAGGAGGTTGCTTACCTGTAACTGTGGTTCTTTGAGTGGTCATCTGTGAACTCATACATCCTGCTTGGCTTCCTTCTCAAAGGGTAGACTGAAATTGAGGATAATGGGATAGAATGGGTGTACTTTCTATATGAGCAGGGCCCCAACCAAAACACTTCATCTCATCTGTAGAAGGTTTTGAGATTATCTGGGCATGCGCAAAATAGCCAGTTGATATGAGTTTGTGAATGACCACTCAAAGAACCACATCTACAGCTACTTATTTGTCTTCTGTCAAACCAATTGTTAGTTCCCTTGGATGGAAATATGTCTTTATGTCTCTTCCCAAAACCAGCAGTTTATTTTCATTGTATGTGATACGGTGGTGCCTCGCATTACACCATTAATTTGTTCCAGCGAAATCACTGTAGAACAAAAACTTCGTAATGCAAAAATAAAAAGCCCATTGAAACACATTGACACCCCTTCAATGTGTTCCAATGGGCTGGAAGCTCACCGTCCAGCAAAGATCCTCCATAGGGCGGCCATTTTCGGTGCCTGTGCAGCGAGGAATCCGTGCCAGAAAACAGCAGGGAGCCATTTTATTTACCCGGTGGCCATTTTGAAACCACCGATCAGCTGTCCAAAAATCGTCGTTTTGTGAAGAATCGGTTCCTGAAGCAGGGAACCGATCATTGCAAAGCGAAAAAACCCTATTGAGATGATCGTTTTGCAATCGCAAAAGCGATCGCAAAAACATCGTAATGCGGTTTTGTCGTAATGTGGAGCAATTGTAAAGCAGGGCACAACTGTATTTGCTATTAAGATATATCAAGTTGTGGTGTGAACAAATGACCTGAATATGATAATCACAGCTGATGGGTAGCCATGACCACTTTCTTGTTCATCTCCATAGAACCAAGGTTTATCAACTGAAGCTGGGTGGTAAGATAGTCAAAGGGCACACTGTAACATTGTGGAATTTACTGACACAGCATATAGTGGCAACTTACAGAAATTTGTTGTAAGATTGAAAGTATCAAACCCTAGGTATTGCCCAAGTCTATTTCACTCTCACACTTTTCACATCAGTTACTTTGTCATGTCTGTTTTAGTTTCTGATTGAAATGTGTCCCACCAATTCATCTCACCAGTTTCATCACTCATCACAAGGAGATACAGTGGGGTCTCGACTTACGAACTTAATCTGTATTGGAAGGCGGTTCGTAGGTCGAATCTGCATTTCCCATAGGAATGCATTGAAAACCATTTAATCCGTATCTGCTCTTTTCCGTCCATAGAAACTACAGTGGTGCCCCACATAGCGACGTTAATCCGTTCCAGGATTATCGTCGCTATCCGGAAACATTGCTATACGGAACGTAAAACCCCATAGGAACGCATTAAACTCTGTTTAATGCGTTCCTATGGGGGGAAAACTCACCGGTAAGCAAAGATTCCCCATCCGGCCGCCATTTTTGCCGCCTCGGTAAGTGAGGGCAGGGTGCGAAAACGCTGCGGGCGGCCATTTTCTGCACCCGGTGGCCATTTTGGTATCGCCAATCAGCTGTTTTCTAAACAATGCAATGCGATGTTTTGCCACCTAAAACATCGCAATGCGATCGCATTAGCGATCGCAAAAATGCGTCGCTATGCGGATTCATCGTTAAACGGTGCGCTCGTTAAGCGAGGCACCACTGTAATGGGAAACTAATGGGAAGCTGCTATTCCACCTTCTGCCACTAGAGGGAGATTTTTTCTTTTTTTCTTAGGTCAAGAAAAGTTCAGGAAAGGAGGGGAGGAGGCAGGGCACAGTTTTAAAAGCACTTTTGAAATCTTTTTTTTCCAACGAAGCCAATTTTGAAGCATGTTTTAAAGCATGTTGTGCTGATTTTTTCAGCACAAAGACACACAGGCAGGCTTTTTAGATGCTGAGCAAGCCTCCCCAAGCCTCTTCAGAGCCAGCTGATCAGCTGTTAGGTGGGGAGAGGAGGGGGCAGGAGCAGAGAAAAGCACAAAATAGCTGCCAGGCTCCCTTCTGGGTGTCGGCTTTTATCTCTTTGCTGCTCTTTCCCCTGCAGTTTGGGGGCTACCAAGGCCTGGTAAGTGACTTTCTTTTATTTAGTTTTAAGTTTCTGAATTTTTCCCCCTCCAGAAGCCTCTAAGGGGAGGGAGGGGGCACTTTTTCCTGTTCGTAACTCGAGGGAAGTTCGTATGTTGAGTATGTAATTTCCTATCAGGCGGGTTCATAAGTCGAAAAGTTCATATGTAGAACCGTTCGTAAGTCGAGACCCCACTGTATTGGTCCAGAAAGGATGCTTCCTTTGGTTATGCAGTCATATTTTCCATTCAGTAATGTATTGTAGAGATATGCACACACACACAGAGAGAGGAGAGTTTTCTGTGTGCTTGATAAGCTTTGCAGGGTTCTCCAGTGACATTTTTGTTCAGTCACCCACCTATATGTGAATAAGCACTCAAAGAGCCAATTGCAGTAAATAACCAATGCTCCCAAGAGGTATAAGGAAGATGTCTTCAGTTCAAAAACTCCAGCGGAAATGGAGGCTGAACTCAGACCTTCCAAAATGATCTACCTGCCAACAAAGAGACAGTACCCCCAGCCCATTGTGTGTTGTGATTATGCTTTTAGAGTTAATACTGGAATGAGATGGGGTGGGATTTTCAATAGTAATGTATCTCTTTAAAGAATCATGCAGCTTATTTTGGGTAAAACATCTGACATGAAAATGTGTGTTTTTTTCTTTGTGTCACTCTGTTAAGGATTCACCATTGAAGATGATGTTGGACGTGTATGAGTTATGCATGACCTACAAAAATTACAGTGAAGCCCAGACCAAGCTCCTCGCCTTCCAAGCCAGTCTTTCAAGAGTGAGCAAAAACTTGATGTATTTTATGAAATTGTGTTTGGTGGGGTGGGATGGGGAAATCCACAGATCTTTCGTTCCTGAGGCAGATTCTGTTATCTCTGACTTGTGTAATGGCAGGATTTGAGGGGGAAAGAGGGGAGAAATATTGTAGCACTTTAAAGACTAACAGATTTATTTCCATATGAGCTTTTCCTGTGTCAAAATCCACTTCTTCAGATGCAGGGGGTGCAAATACTATATCCTCCTAAATTCGTAAATGTTCCCATGGTGGTAGGTGTCATTGTCCAAGTAAGGATAGAGGTAACAGAGAAAGTAACAGAGGTTCGTTAATACAGGAATGGGGCTGTCAAGCTATTAGTTGATGAAAGTCACAAGCCCTGGCCAGATAGACCTGACTGTCAGAGAAATTCTAGGGATGGTTTCTGGGACAGAAGGCAGAGACTGTCAAAGAAGACAAATATTGTATATCTTGTAGATAGTAGAACGCTTGTTGCTGATACATGTAATGTGCTGAGAAACCCTGATATCTGTTTAGGTCCTTTGTGATGCACTGGATGTGCTTTATATAGTTATTTTCTGCTGACCTCCTGTGGAAGTCTCCCTTTGTAATCCTGTTTTTCTCCTTCAGGAACTATAATAGAGTTTTCTTCCTCTTCCTCCTCTTCTTCTTCTACAGCAATAGATATGGGGGCACAGCTGATATCTAGTTCTTCTTCGTGGTCTCTGTGAATGCACACTAATGGGTTAATCTGCACCTGCACAGAGATCTCCGGAATATTCTAGAGCTCAAACATGTGTTCGTCAGGATCACCCCCCTAACACACGAGGTCTGCCCATCCTGGCAATTGCCTCAGTTCCTTTTTGCCACTGCTGAGGTCTCATCTCTTCACAAGCTCTCCGTTCATACTTCTTGGTTCTTTTCTCTAGAGAAATAAACGACAAACAAATTGATTCTGTAGAAAAATAGACTTTTAATCTGTCAGATTTGTAAGAGACTTGATCCCATTTTTTTCCTACCTCCCCACCCCTTTCCCCTTTCCTGCCCTTTATAGCCCCTGGAGGACCATTTCTTGCCCTAACTGCCTCTCATGGATGGCCATGATTCTGAGACTTGATCCCATTTTCATTTCTAAAAGACTTGATTCCATTTTTCCTACCGCCCCCCCAACCCTTCCCCCCCTTCCCACCCTTTGTGGCCCTCGCAGAACTGTTTAAGAGATGCATTTCTTGCCCCAACAAACTGCCTCTCACAGACGGTCACAATTCTTGTTTGTTTTGCTTGAGGGAATCTCACCAACTGATTACTTGCTCTTTTTGTAAAAAAAATTCACTAAACAAGCCATCAAACTTCATCAGCAGCAACTTAAGTCTTTTTTGTGGGAGCAATCCCTACGTCCACCAGCTACTATGGATGATGTACAAGCCTCACAACCACCCCCAGCACCTTCAGATTCAATGGTACTGCAAGAATCACCTCCCAATCTCCCAACACCTGATTCGGATGTGGCCGATACCAGCCCTTGATCTCCATCGGATGATTGGGGAAGGAAGCTAGGCAGCAACCTGGTATTTACAAAGTGCATGGCCCCTGTGGCAGCCCATTTCTGCACTCTGGGAATCTCAATGTTCCCATACATCGATGATTGGTTGTTAGTATCCCCATCACGCTCTAAAGCTCAACGCGACATCACTCTCACTCTTTCTCTCTTAGCAGATCTGGTCCTCAGTGTCAACATGGACAAATCTGTCCTAACTCCCTCACAGAGAGTCACCTATGTAGGCACCATCCTAGATTCTCGGGTCGCATGGGTGTTCTTCCCTCAAGAAAGAACACTGAAGATGCACTCTCTTGTCCAATATTTTCAGCTTTACACATTCCTAACTGCTCCTCAGGCTCAACGCCTTCTAGGCCTCATTGCCTCCACCACGTCAGTCATACAGCACACCCGATTAAAGATGCACTCCTTACAGGTGTGGTATCTTTCCCTTTTCAACCCTCTCTCTGACGCGCCTACCAAGATCCTACAGGTCACTCCCGAACTCGCAACTCGATATAGTTGATTACTCCAACCAACCTCTTTCTCATCAGACCCTTTGCACCCCTCCAATTGACAACTAAGCCTACACATTCATGCCACTTATGAGAAAACTCTTCATATCTACAATCTGGGATTACTGGCAATCTACAAAGCGTTCTGCACCTTCGAGCCTCTCATTACTGGCAACGCCGTACAGGTGACTACAGACAATACCACAGCACTTTACTATATCAACAAGCAGGGAGGAACACACTCACTATAGCTCCTGTACCTTGCCGTTCAGTTTTGGGAATGGTGCCTAGCCCGCCATGTTTTTCCCATAGCGATCCACATTCCTTCCCAACACAACCAACTCGCAGATACTCTCAGCAGACTTCATTCGCAGATGCATGAATGGTCTCTCAACGATTCCATATTCCTCTAGCTCTGCGACAGATGGCGTCTTCCCGAAATAGATGTCTTCACCACGGCACACAACACCAAATGTGTCCAATATTTCTCTTGGGCAGGCATAGGACTGGACTCTCTTGGCGATGCTCTCATGGCAAGGTAGACCTCGCACCTCCTTTACCTCCAGTTCCTCTTCTCTTACGAACCATCATCAAGCTGCAGCAGGATTGCACCAATGCCATGCTCATAGCCCGTGGTAGCCAAGACAGCCGTGGTTCGATGGCATCCAACACTGTCTCCTGCTCATACCCTGCCTTCTCACTCAACACCAGGGACAGACTTACTATCCTGACCTCCAATCACTCCACCTGACAGCCTGGAGCCTTACCCTCCCTAAACACTATTCTGGCTCATGGGAGGAAACCTTCTGCTCAACAGCTTTATGAGTATAAATAGTCTGCATTTGTTAAATTTGCACATCAGAAGAACCTTCCTACAAACCCAACTACTCTTTCAACAGTACTGGCTTTCCTTTCTCATCTTTTTGAATGTCACCTTTCATTATCTGTGCTTAAGGTTTACCTATCAGCAATTGTAGCACAGCAGCCCAGGGACTCTGATGCTGCCTCGTTATTCAAACATCCAACCTTAAAACAATTTCTACGAGGTGTGGCTAACTTGCGACCGACCAGGTATGTTTCACCACCACAATGGTCTTTGCATACCATTCTCCAGCACTTAACGCTACCACCCTTCAAACCTCTCGCAACCTCATCTAAACGGCTTCTCTAGTTTTAAAGTTTTATTCTTGGTAGCTATCACATCGGCACGTACAGCATCCGAACTCGCAGCTCTGTGAGTGGATCTCCCATTCTTGTAATTTCACCCAGTCACGCTCTACCCTGATATTTCCTTCCTGTCTAAAGTTGTTTCTGATTTCCATGTCCACCAGTCTATCATCTTACCTACCTTCTTCCCACAGCGATCCTTCCATCTCTTGGATGTCAGGAGAGCCCTAGCATTTTATGTGAAAAGAAAGGTGCCTTCCCGCAAGTCTAAGAGACTGTTTGTTTCCATGCATCTGCCACATAGAGGAACTCAGATTTCCCCCGAAACTATCTCACATTGGATTGTCCACACCATATGTCTTGCTTATGAACTTGCAAAGAAACCGCTACCTCCTGACATTAAGGCACACTCCACCAGAGAAGTGGCTACTTCTACTGCAGGGGTGGGCAATTAATTTCTATAGGGGGCCACATGAAAAATCTGAACTGTGTTCGGGGGCTGAACCAACTTTACTTAACAATAGGCCCCCATTGGTGGGTGGTAACAGGCCCCCAATTTGTCGGTAGTAATAGGCCCCCATTGGGTGAGGCCCTGCAGTGAACAAACTAGAAGGCTGACATAGTTAACTCGGTAAACTTTTTAGGGAGTTAATTATGAGAGTGTTGTAATTTGTTCACCGCAGGGGGAGGAGAAGAAAAACCCTGACACTGAGCTAACTCACCTGTCCTCCGTTCCCCTGCGGCCTTCCTTTCTGACTGTCTTCTATCCCGCGCAGGCAACGTGATGCGTCATCATATCACTTGCGCAAGGATTGCTTCTGGCCTCTTGAGCTGCAGGCTCCGCAGCTTGCGGCTCAAGAGTCACAGTCAAAGCTCGCAAGATCCCAGCGTTGGATCTCACGAGTTTTGCTTACTGCTGTGCTGGGTGGCTGAAGCTCCGGCTCTGCTCAGTGGCGACAGGCAGGCCGGACAGGAGTGGTGACCAGCGGGGTAGACTGGAGCGACAACCGGCAGACCGGACAGGAGCGGCTCGCAGGCCATGTGTGGCCCAGGGGCCACATTTTGCCCAGGTCTGTTCTACTGGCTTTCTGAAAGGCATACCTGTTCCTGACATATGCAAGGCCACTGCTTGGTCTATTCCGTCAACATTTGCATCCCACTATTGATTGGATGTATGGGCCCAGTTGGATGCTGCCTTCAGATGAGCAGTATTGGTTTCTGTTCTTCTATGACATCCCTTCTCCTGTCAGGTAAGCTTGCTAGTCACCCATTAGTGTGCATTCACAGAGACCATGAAGAGGAAAGAGAGGTTACTTAACTGTAACTCTGGTTCTTTGAGTGGTCATCTATGAATTCACACTTCCCGCCCGTCCTCCCCTCTGTCTGTCACATCTGTTTATTTTATACAGCAGAGGGCTGTTCGGCAACTGAGGCAATCACCAGGATGGGCGGACCACGTGTGTTGGGGGGGCTGTCCTGGTGAACGTGTGTTTGAGCTCTAGAATATTCCGGAGATCTCTGCGCAGGCGCACATTAACCCATTAGTGTGAATTCAGAGATGACCACTCGAAGAACCAGAGTTACAGGTAAGTAACCTCTCTATTTGTGGCAGGGTCTTGTTCCTTTCTCTGTCTCCATATTGTGTTGCCTTGTTGTGTGTCAGTAGTAGTTTAATGTTGGGGGTTGTCTGTAGGTAAGAACAGGCCAGTCCCCCAAAACCTGGGAGAGGGATGGGCTGCAGGTAATTGATGATGTCTCAGTGGACCTTACACTGCAAAATATGATCTGTGATACACAATATCACAGATCTCCATCATCATGAACCCTTCCCCTTCAAAATGCATATTCATTCTCTGGAGCAAAAGGTGGGGGGTTGCATAAAGTACACCAAGGCACATTGACCACAGCAGTTAGGAATAACAAGTCCCACCCCAGAGAAAGATTCCAAAAAGATTCCATAGTTAATGGTATCAAAAGCCACTAAAAGGTCCAGCAGAACCAACAGGGTCACACTTCCCTTGTCTAGATCCTGACATTCTGTAGATCCACCAAGATTACCAAAGCAGTGTCTGTTCCATAAACAGACCTGAAGCCTGGTTGAAAGAGATCAAGATAATCCATATTATAAAAAAAACCCTACAGCCATAAACTCACCACATGCTCTAGAATTTTGCCAAAGACTATTTAAGACTAACTGATAATTATCTAGTATAGGATTGGCTTTCCCCCCCAATAGTGCTTATTAAGCTGCCTCTTTTAAGCAGGCTAGACCATTGTCTTCTCCTAGTGAGGTAGTCACTACTCCCCTCATCCATTATGCCAGTTCCAGGAAAGGCAAGGACCCAGTATGCATGGAGTGGCTGTCACCAATGCAAAGACCCTGCCCCACATCCTTGGGCTGCTCAAACGGTAACGTATCTATTATCATAGGAGAAGCAGAGGCTGAATATACATTTGCAGGATGTATGTCAACTACAGCAACCAAGTCAAAGAAGATATGATTGATTTTATTTGCAAAGGGTTGAGAGAATTTTTCACAGGGTGTGACCTGCTGCATGAATGAGTCAGTATTTCATTTGGTACAGACCAACATGCCCCCAGATTTTCAGCCCCGCTGAGTGGGGCTTTGCCTCTCTTGCTCATAACTTCACCCCTGTGTGCATGCATGACTCCGCTCCCCATGCAGGGTTCTGTCACAACTGGAACCAAAGGGGTTGAACATGATTGCTGCACAGAGAAGGAAGAGAGCTACGTGGAGTGAGGCGGAGTGGCGTGTGCCTGACTTAGAGGGAACCTTAGTACAAACCCATGGCTGTCATGAGGACATGAAATCCTGAGTCTCCTGATAAGACTGTCTCAGAATAGACATTGAAGTGCCCCAACACAACAGTATCACCCCCAAGATTAGCTTCATTAGCTTAGGCATGAGACATTGAAGTGCCCCAACATAACAGTATCACCTCCAAGATTAGCTTCATTAGCTTAGGCATGGAAACTATTGTGCAGCAGGGTGGACGGTATACAACAGAATCCCTGTACAGTACTGCCTACTTTCCAGGTTTTGCCTACTGCTGCGGAGAGAATCCAGGTTGGCAGAGCTGAAGAGATTATTCAGTGAGGTCCCTTGTAATATAGGCCAGGTCCAGGATCAAGTCCTGGATGCTGGTTGTTTTGTCATTCACTGACCTGGAGAAGATAGGCTTTAAGCTGCTATAGCTTCACTTGCACTTGCAAGAAGAGCTGCTTCAGGCAGAAAGACAAACATGCCACAGGTATAGGAGTCACTCCAGCTGCTTCAGTTTCCAAGTCTGTCATTCACTGACCTGGAGAAGATTGGCTTTAAGCTGCTATAGTTTCACTTGCACTTGCTGCAAGAAGAGCTGCTTCAGGCAGGAAGACAAACATGGCACAGGTATAGGAGGTCACTCCAGCTGCTTCAGTTTCCAAGTCTCTCATCCAATGTAAACTTCATCCTCAAATTTCCCCATGCATAACATCCATGTGTATTCACCCTAGTTGTGAGGTCTTGGTTATAAGTTCCTATGAACTCTGAATGCAATTACTGATGTGAAGCTATTAGTTGTCCCCACAAACAGAGTATCCCCATCCTCCTATAGGTAGGCCCTTCCTAATAGCCTTAAGTCAGCCTGCATGGAATCACTTAAGAGAGAATCAACCAATCATAGGAAATGTTTGTTGCTTTGGAGTAACCAAATAACATTTCCTCTGGCCTATAGGAAATATTAACCCTTGTCAACAGTCTAGATGGGTAGGTAAATTGTTTTAATATTGTTATACACCGCTCAGAGACCATTGGTAATGGTGCTGCTAAAATATATTGTAAATAAATAAATTGGACAGATCTCTGTTCCTGACAGACAGACTCAAGATATGAGGAAATTTCATCCTATGTATTTAGGATGACACTTGATAAATATTTTGACAGAAAGCTCTGAGTGGAGTTCTTGTTCAAGGTGTCTGCTAGAAAGACATATAACGATAGAAGACATTGTTATAGACTTCTGCTATAGTTGTGTTCCCTTTGTCTTTGGAAATCTAAAATTTCATGCTACCAGGTGACGTAGTACTCCTTTTTTGTGTATAAAGTTTTCAGTTTCTCAAATTTCTGCTGCTACTACCATAGTTGTCTTAATTTGGACAAGCGAAGGAGGAAGTGGTGAAGGTGGGCACTCTGGAGTGTGGCTTATTGTAGATGGTCTCTCCACAGCTTGAAGCCTCACACGAAGTGCCACAGTCCATCCTATCTGTGCCCTGGCTGGAGTTGCAGGCTTCATTTCTTATTGAACAGATGTTACAGCAATGCAGAACACAGTATGAACTGGGAAAACTCCTTCGGCTTTTTGCTGATACAGACATTGTTCTTCCACATGGTAAGGAAAATTGTGCTGTTCCTTTTTATGTATGTATGTATGTATGTATGTATGTATGTATGTATGTATGTATGTATGTATGTATGTATGTATGTTTTATTTATTTATTTATTTTTGCACCCTGTTTTCGCTGCTTACCTGAGACTTCGCAGTATAGTGGTGTTCCTATATATAGATGATTAGTTGATTGTAGCCAGTTCCAGAGTCAAGGCAGAACAAGATGTCTTGTTCATTTTGTGTCTTCTAGAGGATCTTGGTATGAGAGTTAACCTAGAAAAATCAATTTTAAAACCACCAAAATCAATTACATCAGTACTTTTATCAGTTTCAGAATTGCAGAGGCTTACTTGCCTCAGGAAAAGAAAGAGAAACAAATGGCTTTAATTAAAAATGTAAGGCACATGCAAAGATAACAGTATATATGGTCCAGAGGCTCCTGAGAGTATTGGCATCAACAACATATATTCTCCCACACGTGTAGTTGAAGATGAGATCCCTTCAGGCTTGGTATTTGGCATCCTTCGATATACTAATAGAGAGCTCCTCAAAGATCTTGACTGTGACTCCTGAGTTAGGACCACAGCACCAATGGTGGGCTACAATTCCCAACTTAAGGCCTTTCAGACTTTTAACATGTAACAACCAGTGCAAGCCTTGGAAGCTGGTTCGTTCACGGCATGAATCTCCAGGTCCATACTCTTTGATCCAGGAAAGAGAGGCAAAATGCACATAAGCAAATTAAAGCTCCCAGCAGTTCTAAAAGCTTTCAAGGCTTAAAAGATATTGATTTCTGGCAAAGTAGTACAAGTGGCCACCAGCACCTTACCACCATATACTATATAAACAAGCAGAGCAGAACAGACTCTATGTCTTGCCTGCTTCTCATAGTCCACCTCTGGGAATGGTGTCTGGTGCACCACATCTTTCCAATAGCTATCCATGTGGTGGGAGAACACAATCAACTAGCATGCAATCTAAACAAACAGGTAGTTCAAGATCATGAATGGGAACTAGCCCCAGACATTTTCAACAAAATGTGCAGCTGATGGGGTCATCCAGTTATCAACCTCTTTCCTATGAAGAACAACAAGAAGTGCCAGAGATATTGTTCTCAAACTAGTCGAAGTCTTGCTTCACTAGGAGCTGAGTTAATGTCTTGAAGGCTAAAAGATTTTTCCTACCTCTTTCCACCAGTACCCTTGCTATACAAGATAGTAGTAAGTCTTTGACAAGAGAGGTCAAACCCCATTCTAATAGCTCTGTGGTGCCCATGTCAAGTCTGGTTTGCAACATTAAAACTAATGGCACGAGACATTCTCCAGCTGCCAATGATTCTATGAAAACTGAAGTTGGAAGAAGCCTACAAGGCCATCAAGGCCAACCCCCTGCTCAATGCAGAAATACAATCAAAGCATGTCTGCCAGGTGATTATCCAAGTTTTTCTTGAATGGCTCCAGGGTTGGAGCACTCACCAGCTCCTGAGGTAACTGGTTCCACTGTCATACTCCTCTAACAGGAAGTTTTTCTTGATATTCAACTGAAATCTGGCTTCCTTTACCTCGAGCCCATTGTTGCATGTCCTGCACTTGATCCCCCACTTGCTTTTGCAGAACAAGGGTTCTGTTTGTCATCCAGATTTAGTCACACTGAGGTTGACGGCATGGAGAATTCTCCAGTGTTTTTGAGGATAATGAATGAATCCAGGAAACCTTCTACTAGACTGACTTAAGAATACAAATGGTGAAGATTCTTTCCCTTCACCTCTTCAATAGGAAAACCTGAAGATCATACGGTGCTGAGCTTCCTACTACACCTTAAGTGGTCAGACAACCCCCTAGTTCTAGAGCATCCCAATATTTAAAGAAGTCTCTACCAGCCGATGAAGCCACCCTTCAAACCATTGGCTGCAACACACCTTAAGCTACTTAGTTATAAAACTGTATTCTTGATAGTTCTGTATTTAAACCATAGAATGGTCAGATGAGTTTTGCTCAGGTGCAGAAACACTAATATATGAGATTCACAGATGGCCACTAAAGGAATGACAGTTACTGATCAGTAACCTGTCCATGTCATAAGGTAAACCTCACCTTATCAAGGTGCCACAGCTGAAAAATGCCCTCTCCCTTGATTCCACCAATTTAACTGTGGGCAATCTTGGTGTTTTGAAAGGGCCTCAGCAGAGCAAGACAGGTTAATAACATGTATCTATGTATCTGCCTCTTTAAAAAATTCTCATCTTTATAGTACTATTTACAATTTTAAGAGGTGATCGTTGCTTTTTAATTGTACTGCTTTTGCATGTAGGACCAAATATGAAGAAGATGAGTGCCCTCAGTTGCATCTTGAAGGACTCCTCTATTTCAATTGATCCTGCTCTTCTAAGAAATTATACTCATGAGAATTTCCAGACAGAGTGCAGGAGAATTCTGAAGCAACTACAGGAAAGATGCTCTTTTTCCATGGCCAGGGCTGTGGCAGAGCTGGCAGAGCTACCTGTGGACAATGTTGTTATCCAAGAGGTGCGATGTAGCCATTTGGATGTCTTTAGTTTTTTAACTTACATTTTTGTTGTGTTCCATCTCCTCATTGTGGTAGTCTGTGAATAGTGGCATGTCCACCAACTACCACAGTCCTAGATCAGTTCCAGTCTTCAGCTAAAATTTATGTACACAAATGAATGTATGCATATTGTAAGGGAAACTGGTGACCAGAAAGTGAGTGGCGGCAGCCATCTTGTGGGGGCAGTGAGGAGTGGAAAAAGAAAGGGACTAGTAAGGTCAGAGGTCCCATATAAATTTGCAAACCTCCTCTTGAGGTATAAGCTAAAGATATTTCCTCCTTTCTATATGCAAACACTGTCATCCATTCATGAGTAGATATCTTATCTTTCAGTTCTAATTGTCATTGAGAAGAAACTGCAAATCCAGGGCAGACTGGAGGGGCGGGGGGGGGAGTCGCCATTGTTTATAGAAAATCTTTAGAGGTTACAAGGCACTCCTAGGTTGTGAAGCCAGGTTTGGAGGCCCTTCATGTGCGAATTGGGGCCAGGGACAGTATTGGGATCTTGCTGGGTTACCGCACTCCCCGCAATCCAGCCACCTCCCTACCGGAGCTGGCGGACTTCGTCTCCGCGGCACTGTTGGAGTCCCCAAGACTTTTGGTCCTGGGAGACTTCAACATCCATGCGGAGGCGGAGGTATCTGGTCCAGCTCTTGAGTTCTCGGAAACCATGGCTTTCTTGAACTTGTCCCAACATGTTAACGGTCCCACAAACATGGGCGGCCATATGCTTGACCTGGTATTCTCTACTGAGTGTAGTGAGCGTGGTCTGATGGTGACTGACCTCGTGTCAGTCCCCTTGTCATGGTCAGACCATCACCTGATAAAATGTAACCTCACAATGGAGCTCCCTCCCTGCAGGGAGCAGGGACCTATTTTAATGGTTCGCCCTCGAAGGTTACTGGATCCTATGAGATTCCAGGATACCATGAGAGGGATTCCAGCAGCACTGTCTGGCGTTCCTGTCGAAGCTCTGGTGGACGGCTGGTTCTCCGCTGCTACTAGGGCTGCTGACACGATCGCACCCAAACGCCCTCTCAGGAGCAGAGCTCGGCCAGGTCCCTGGTATACCCAGGATCTACAAGCAATGAGCGAATAAGGAGACGGCTAGAGAGCGCGTGGAGAAAGAAACCGACGGATTGCAACAAAATCGCTGTCAGGATCGCAACTAACCGTTACCTGGCCAAGGTAAAGGATGCTAGAAGATCTTACATTGCTGACCGGATAAGTGATGCTTCTAATCAGCAGGCGGAACTCTTCC